TGAGCAAATGTTTTTGTCTTGGTAAAGACTCAAAACACTGTGGAAAATCAAAAATCTCCATTATTGCAGCATGGTCACTTGTCAATACGGTTTCATTATCAGCATTAATTCCAAAGTTTTACAAAAATTATGTTTTTCTTTTGTTTGAGCAGTTCAGTCAGATTAGAATATAAATAAGCCTCTTGCATACATGCAGTTAGTGTCACTGACTCTATGAGATTAAAAGGAGGAATAAAGAGGAGGCAGAATGTAGGGTAGCAGAGAGTAATTTTTGAAATGTATCTATCACTGCAGAGGGTAATTAAAAAAAAAAAGCTATGGGCATATCAAAGATTTTTGCAAGGAAAAAAGATTAGGACAGCACACAAGAATCACTTTTTAAATTTACCTAGTGAAGCATCCTGTAATAGCCCTCTAATACAACTGTAACTATGATAACTGTGAGAAATGTAAGAAGTAAACATGGTCTGAATAAAATACAGACCCAGAGTCCAAGCTTGCCCATGGGCCGTCACCAGCTCCCCCTGATTAGCCAGCCCCCAGAGGATGGACATCTTTTGCTTCCATGTCCTTCCCCAAAACTGCCTTTTGACTCCCACAGTGACTACCAAAAAGACTATGTGCCTGCTCCCTGCTGATTTCAAAAGTGATATAAAGAGACCCTCTCCCCCAGTTGCCAATACATTGTACTACAATTAATATTAATGCGCTAAACATGCCAGCAAAGAATTTAATTAAAAAAAGAAAAAAGAAAGAGAGAGAAAAAAGAAGAGGTACTTTTATTTCATCTACTAGGCTTGGCAGCTGTGGATATAGTTTTCTTTACTCTCATTTTTCAAGTAGCCTTAATTAATTAATCAATTTAACCTTACAAATAATTAGCAATTGTAATGCATTAATAAGATGGCCACTATCTGATGATTGCTCCTCAGCCAAGCCAAGGGCTTAAGCCTTGCAGCTGTCATGAGGATTAAACGCTTCAAGGGAACAAAAATTACACGAGCAATTAGGTGTGCAATGAATCAGAGGATTGTTTGTGTTGCATGGGCTGCGCTGCCTTCCTTAGTGGACACCCATGTTGAACACTGTAGCACAAATGTTGCTTGATCCCAGCCAAAGTGGAGATGTTTCATTCTGGAGCCTGTCTGGATGTCCAAAACCATTTCCATGCCAAGGGCCAATGCTGTCACTTCACTCATGTGCTTGCCGGGGCTAGACTCTTCTGCAGGCTTAAAGAGAGTGGCTGCCCTGCTGCAGACTGGGAATGGTGCCCTGGCTTCCCTAATTCCCCAGTATCTATCACTGCAGAGGGTAATTAAAAAAAAAAAGCTATGGGCATATCAAAGATTTTTGCAAGGAAAAAAGATTAGGACAGCACACAAGAATCACTTTTTAAATTTACCTAGTGAAGCATCCTGTAATAGCCCTCTAATACAACTGTAACTATGATAACTGTGAGAAATGTAAGAAGTAAACATGGTCTGAATAAAATACAGACCCAGAGTCCAAGCTTGCCCATGGGCCATCACCAGCTCCCCCTGATTAGCCAGCCCCCAGAGGATGGACATCTTTTGCTTCCATGTCCTTCCCCAAAACTGCCTTTTGACTCCCACAGTGACTACCAAAAAGACTATGTGCCTGCTCCCTGCTGATTTCAAAAGTGATATAAAGAGACCCTCTCCCCCAGTTGCCAATACATTGTACTACAATTAATATTAATGCGCTAAACATGCCAGCAAAGAATTTAATTAAAAAAAGAAAAAAGAAAGAGAGAGAAAAAAGAAGAGGTACTTTTATTTCATCTACTAGGCTTGGCAGCTGTGGATATAGTTTTCTTTACTCTCATTTTTCAAGTAGCCTTAATTAATTAATCAATTTAACCTTACAAATAATTAGCAATTGTAATGCATTAATAAGATGGCCACTATCTGATGATTGCTCCTCAGCCAAGCCAAGGGCTTAAGCCTTGCAGCTGTCATGAGGATTAAACGCTTCAAGGGAACAAAAATTACACGAGCAATTAGGTGTGCAATGAATCAGAGGATTGTTTGTGTTGCATGGGCTGTGCTGCCTTCCTTAGTGGACACCCATGTTGAACACTGTAGCACAAATGTTGCTTGATCCCAGCCAAAGTGGAGATGTTTCATTCTGGAGCCTGTCTGGATGTCCAGAACCATTTCCATGCCAAGGGCCAATGCTGTCACTTCACTCATGTGCTTGCCGGGGCTAGACTCTCTGCAGGCTTAAAGAGAGTGGCTGCCCTGCTGCAGACTGGGAATGGTGCCCTGGCTTCCCTAATTCCCCAGACCATGCCCAGGCTTTGTCAGGGTGAGTGCTAGCTTTGCCACGAACATGTTAATGATTAAAGAGACTGGGTGATTGATGGTGAGCCTGGAGATTTCCTGACCTGATGCAAGTACCCGAGGTAGCTGTAGGCGCATTGACTCAGTGCAGGAAGCGGCGTCCCTCTCTGAGTAATGGTAAAAAAATGTATTTATGCTCCAAAAAGCAGAGGAAGTACCTCAGGTTTAAGGTTTTATAATTTTTTTAAGGCAGGATGTTGGTGAACATGTAGCCAACCTGGAACTGGCAAACATCCCTAAACATCATGGGTATTAATAGAATTAGAGAATCATTAAGGTTGGAAGGGACTTCAAAGAGCATCAAGCTCCACCCCCCCTGCCATGAGCAGGGAACCCAACCACTAGATCAGGTTGCACAAAACCTCATCCAACCTGGCCTTAAAAACCTGCAGGGATGGGGCATCAACAACCTCTCTGGGCAACCTATTCCAGTTCCTTACCACCCTGATAGTGAAGAATTTCTTCCTAATATCTAACCTAAATCTCCCCTCTCTCAGTTTAAAACCATTAGCCCTTGTCCTATCACTATCTTCTCTGATGAAAAACCATAACTAGATCTCAGTGCAGAGCAGTAAAATGTGATTCCTAAAGGAGGCTAGCACAGAAACAAAAAGGTGATGAAATGGTATCCTGATAATTAACTCTATCAGTGGAGAATATTACAGACTCTCTTTTTTACAACAATTTGCTACAGTAACAGAAAAGCATCTACTTCACTGTAAAATTAGACATATACCTCCTAAATTCTGTGGGGTATATGGAGTGGTGCCTGCTGCAGGGATACGAGCAAGAGATCACAAGAGTGTCATGGCCCAGAGAAGCAGCATAAAGATATTTAGTGTGTCAGATAAAAAGGTAACCCTTTGTGCTTATATAAGGTCTTTTATCAGCTAGCAAGACTGAACAATGCCAAGGATGTTGCACTAAACCCTTTCTTGCAGCCTATCAGCTGTGATAACAATGCAGCAAGACCTGCTACTGGGAAAGGTGTAAAGGGACCTACCACAGAACTAAAGTGAAATAAAATTACATTGTCCCTAGCAGGTAAAAGTATTTCCAATGAAAGCCACTGGTCTGTAAATATGAATATATTATCTATTTGATCCAAAGCAATTCTGTTTATTCACAGTATGTATATATTGGTAAATGCAGGACAGGGTAGCCTTTTTACATTAGCACTTATGTTTTGTATTTGTCACAGTGAATTTTTAGGTAATTTCATGTTGGGGGTTCACTAAGAGTAAAATGATTAAAAGCTCATGGAAAAGTCAAGCTGAACTGTCAGGTTTAACCATATGAATGGTCATTGAAATAGTCAGCAACTCTGGCAAGGGAAAATACTCCCCTTTAAGTGCTATTGTTGGATATGCAGAAACTAGCTTGTCTGTGTTCAAAGGACCACTAATCCTCTCTTGTAGTTTTGAAGTAATTGAATTTTTGTTCCGCAGTGAGAGCAATTAACATGGAGAGCTTGTTTTTTACTTCAGCCCTTGGTCTTTCTGGAGGATTTGTGCCTCTCACAAGTGTTGCCTTGTCCTCTCAGGAACAGAGAAGTCCCTGGACATGCACAGAGCAGGGGTGGCCCTTGCGTGTTTTTGCCCAAGGTGCATGCAAAGAGCGCTCTCAGTAGAAAGCAGAGGAACTGAGGGCATGATTTTCTGAGGACCAAGTATGTCCTCCCCCCATCTTGTCCTTGCCCTGTAATGATTCCACATGGAGCAGTAGATAGTCAGCACTTCTGAATTTGTGTTGCTGAGTGTGCAGAAGCATCTAAGCATTTTGCACATACAGAAACTGCCGACAGCAAGTCAGCCAGCTCTTGTCAGTTAGATTTTAGGTCTGTGCCAAATGGGCACATGTTCTGGATGCGCTAACTTGAAATATGGTGGTGACATACACAGTAGCAGCTTCACTCATTGCCATGTTAGCAGCTTTGCTCCCTGACGTGTTTTGCGGTGATTCCATCTTATGCAATGGAAGAAGATGGTGGTATTAACAAGTGCTTTGGAGATTTCCTAGTATGAGAACTGCTCAGTTATGTTGCATCACCCTTGCTCCTTTGGAATCTCTTAAAGTCTGGCATTAAGCAGTGCTGCTGCCAAGAAAACAGGCATATAGCTATTTTGGGGCCTTCAAAGCATGGAGAAGCTGCAGGTAACCTGAAGAAAAGGCACTATTTCTTATCCCTTGCATGGAAGAACACATGGTCATTATCTGCAGAATCATCCACTTAACACTGCTGCTGTTATTATTGGTAAAATTATTAAAGTATTATTTTCCAGGTAATAAGAAAGAAGTCTTTATCTTATCTTGACACAAAATCACTGCAAAAATGGAGTTTACCATCTCCTAATTTAGTCCCTCTGCCTGATGTTTCTTGGGTCGTCTTCTCACCTCCCTGTTTCTGCGTGGTTATTGCCCTGGTGCTATTGAGACTTCTCTGCATCAGAGCAGCACATCAAAAAAGAGATGAACCCTCAGGATGTGACAGCAGAGATGCGTTTCACTTTCTTGTCATTTAGGACAAGTTGCCATGGTATTCAGCTTCATGTGACTGGAAAGTAAACAGCTCCAAACCTCCGAAAGGTATCTACCAAAGCTTTCCTTGCTTATTTGTTCTGGGGCTTTGTTCTGCAGGTCCTGTGTGACAGACATGTGCGAGTGCCCAGTCCATAAAAACTGCTACTGCGAGTCATTCCTGGCGTACGCCCGGGCCTGTCAGAGGGAAGGGTTGAAAGTCCAGTGGGTACCGGAGCAGAACTGTGCAGGTAAGTGTTTAGAACTGCTTTGTAAGCCAGTGCACAGGCTAATAGGCTACTATCCTTTTACTGGTGGATGAGTATAAAGAATGAATTGGCTAGAAAGGACTGGGACTGCACCAGCAGGAAAGCTGCACTCTGAATTATGGAGAAAGACCTTTCCAGGAAAGATTTTCAACCATGAAATATTAGAAATGCTTATTTTGCTGCAAAACTTTTCATCTCTAATGCCACCTGTCTTAATTTTATGTACTTCCAGGAACAAGTGCATGCCTTTTTCTTTCAGGATAGGTAAACATTATTAAAGATAATGTTTAAATTCCTTTGATCTCCCGTTAAAGCACAGTTATATTTCCAGAAACAATATACATATTTTATTGCAGCAGGTTCAATAAGGAAAGAAGAGAGAATGTATTTAATGGGAATATTTAAATAAGACCTGCATTACTTCTGGTACTTGGACCAGATTCCCCATGTGATTAGGACTGCATTAATTGCAAGTAATTGTGAGCAATTGTTTCCATGACAAGTGGTGGCCTGTGGTCACAGGCACTTGAAGTAAAATGCAATATTGCAGATGAATATTTCCCCTGATGATGGTCTCATTAATTTAGGACATTATATAATGGCATCAGTTTGCCTGGAAATGTATTCAGATTTATGTTAAGCAATTGAGAGTAGTTGGAAAAAAAATAAATGAGTGAAGGATACTCAGTGCTGGTCAAAGAGCTATTACTCTGTGGTCCATTTTGCTGATTGTGTGTGGCTCCGGGTTTAATCTCTTGGCTTCAGTTTCCTTTCCTGTTGAAGGCATGATAGCAGGGATGGCTGAGTGACAGAGCAAATTACATATGGTTGACTGTTCTTGAAAGGTTCATTTTTTTTTTCTTACAAAGAAATAGAAGAATCCAAACAAGGTGTCACTAAATGAAAGCCCACTTCAAGAATGTGGCCTCAGACAGCACTAAAAACACATGTAATTTTAATCTATTGATCGGGTAGCAGATCCATTCAGAACCTGACACAAGCATCCTGACTTTAGGTGGGGTTTTTTTGACCACAGCACTTCAGATTGAGGCCTCCGTGTGAGAGATGCTGTAAAAAGAATAAAAACTCCAGTCCCTGCCTTAAGAAGTTTGTACAAGTGTTGGCATATCACAATTTAACTAATTCACTTCTTTTTTCTGGCATTTTACCAAAGACAAGAAAAGTTTCTAAAGCAAAAACAATCCTTGAGAGACCATTATGTTGGAATTTAAACACACATCTCCCATTAAAGCTAATGAAAGGAGTGTTTAAAATCACTCAAGTTTTTTTAATCTCAGCACAGACTTCTAGAGAGAAAGGGGAAATCTTGTTAAGCAGAAAATATAGATAAGCTGCAGAGGGTCAAGTACCCTCACAACACTTGCTTAAAGCATCCAATGTGGAAAAAATGGCACCATCTTACAGAGTAAATAACATGGTATGCTTTCAATTAAAGTGCATCCACTGCACTTCATATATTACCAGTGGCTAGCATCAAGATACTAATCTTTAACTTACTTTTTTCTCCCCAAAACTTGTAGTTACAGTTATTGTGTCCTAATTACGGATAAAAGTTTGTGGGTATGAACTAATACATCAGTAATAAAATGTTAGCATTCTGTGACTTTCATTTCCTGCTTGACTTTTCATAGCTGGTGGGATACTTGGAAGAGCTGTGTTCTGATGGAAATGGAGTATACTTATTAGTAAAGTCAGGTTTTAATTATTCTTTTGTGTATTATAAAACCAGATCTTGTGTGGTTGCCAGTTCTTCTACCCTGACTGCTGTGCACTTACCTCATTTTTATAATCTTTAGAAAGCTTGTGTTGTCTATGGGGCCAGGCAAGCAGGATGCTCAGGAGGCTGAATTACATGTCCTGTTCCCTACATGCTCTTCCTCCTCCCCCATTGTGGTGGTGTATCCTCCTCTGAGTCCTCTGCAAAATACTGCTGCTCAAGTCCTTTAAGGCTGGCTCAGTAGGGGGAATATCAGCTGTTATTTAACCAGAGGAGTGAAGAGAAGAAGCTAATAAATAAAGAAAATGGAATGGGTAGGAAAGAGTTGGTGATACACGCACAGGAACTGAGAGGGTTTGGAAAGGAATACGGTTTTCCATGGGAGGTAGTGGGGAGTGAGACCTGTTAGAATGAGCACAGGAAGAAATATGATGTGTAAGGACAAGAAAAAACAAACAAACCAAACCAAAAAAACAAACAAACAAAAAACACACAGGAAAAAAACCCAAACAAATTAACAAAAAAACAACAGGAGAGCCAGCATAAGGGAAAGAAGAAATAAGACAAAATTATGCGTGTGAGAGGGAAAAGGATACAAATGGAAGGAAGAGGTTTGAAAAGGAGAGGAGACAGAAAAAAAGATCTTTTTATTTATTTTTTTTTTAGCACAAGAAAGGCTAAGCAAGCAGTTTATAAAGCGCAGTTAAGTAATCTGGAGTGGGGAAAGGCCTTGGGGCCATAGTAATTTAACACTGAGTTTCTGAGGGTGCTCAAGGATGGCAGATGGCAATAACTCCCTTCCATGGGCTTGGCTATACAGGCAAGAAGAGAATGCAGACATGGACTATAATAAAGTGCAAAGTGCACATGGTAGCACTGATGTGCTGATGTGCTCCCAGAGCCTCACAAAAACAGAACAATTTTCTCTTTTTCCTGTGTGATCAGTTGAACCAGAGGAGGATGCGTGTATATCTGATTTTGACTCTTCCTCTACTGGACCCCCTCTTCTCTGCTGTGGAATTTTCTGGCCAAAGTCTCTCTTTTTTCCCTGTTAAATGTTGCTTTCCTTTAATCACTTCATTTCATGTGAATACATATCAGAAGGCTATTAGGACTTTGGAGTGGAAAGTCATGAAAACCTGAAAGTTAAAAAGATTAACACAAGCCATATCATTAGAAGGTCAGTGCCCAGAGGTATTGCCTTCTACTATGTCAGAAAGAGATGCTATGAACTGCAAGCACTACAAATGACATTCAGTTTGAAAGTTCTACAAAACACCTCAAAAGCCCAAAGTGTGCGACACCAACAGAAGAAGCAGGATGATTCACTGATGCACAAATATCAGCTCAGAAATTTCCAAGGAATCAGATTTACCAGATAGCCTCCACCAGGGGAACCCTTCTGCAGTTCCATGTTAGGTATTTTGGCTTTTGTGCTGGAGAGCAAGAATTCCTCCTAAATAATGATGGCCGTTTCTACAAAGACAGGCACAGACAGATACAAACCTTTTCTGTGAAACTGCCAAACTGGCTGGAATACACCAGCTCTGGTCTGAAAATTGAACAGCCTTATTAGGCAGGGTTTACTAGCTCAGGCATAGTGTTGTATTTATGTGACTATATGGCTTCTGGACTGGAGCTGGCTATCATCCCGCCGGCACAGAAAGCAGGGGAAGCTCACATCTGTCATGCCAAACACATGTTCTAGAAGAAGAGTGGAAAAATCCTGTTGGGACTGGTAACGTTGCAAAATGCAATATTATTAGTAACTTTTGTACTTTGGGGTTGGTTTTTTTTATTATTTTTTTTTTGCTGATGCACTAAGGAAGTTATTACTAGCAGAGCTCAGTTCTGTAAGAGAGGAATTTGTCTTAAAAGACGGGTCCAAAGGCATCACTTCTGTTTTCCATGTTTACATGGTGCGGATTCATTTCAGCAGTCCCTGGGAAGCCTACTGAAGAATGTCTTTATTTTTATTTTTTAAACTGTTGATGAAGCAGAATGTTCTGGATCAATCGCACCACATGTTAACAACTGAAACACTCAACAATAAAAGCCATCCGGGGATCTTAAACTGCAGCCATTGTAGTCTTCTGGTTTTCCCCTTGACAGCAAGTTAATAATGCCATTATAGCCTGCCTACAGCAGAAAATAAAGTCATCAGGTCTTCTATATGGCATCATCTGAAGGAGAAGGAGGTGTTTTGACATATCACATCCATGTGTGGTACAGCAGAGTGGGGAGTACTTACAGATGCCATGGCTACAGAGGGCAGCCTGTAATATATTCTCATTTACTCTAGGGAAGAGATGAGGAAGTGGAAAAACCACCTCAGACAACTTTTCTCAAACCCCACCAGCTGAGGCACCTAAGAAAGCTCAGGTGGAACGAACAGCCTGCCTATTACTGCAGTAAAGCTTTGTAGGATGAAACCTGTGCAGCCTAAAAAATGAAGTTCGTAGACCTTTCTGTATGGAAACTGCATGTACTGAAGCCTAATGTTTCAGTCTGTAGTTGGTTAATTACAGATCCTTTGAAAGGAAACTAATATTCAGACATGGGGATGAAAGCTTCTGGTAAGAAGCCCCCTGCACTATCTGTCTCTGGACATCTTGGTCTGCTTTTCTAGACAAGCAATATATTGTTTGCAAACCTCCAGGGAACTCCACACACCTTTGTTTCCCGTTACAGCAATTCAATCTCTACTCTTAGCTCGCTACATAATGGTGAAGTGTAGTGAATGCGATACTTTACTATATGATCAATATTTCTTGCATGTTTTTCTCACCTTCTAGATTTCCCACTTAATTTAAATTTCGTTTTAGTTATTCATTTCGTCTCTTCTTCAATGTGCATGAGAGTTATCATGCAAAGCAAGATAGAAATGTAAAGCTGTAAAAAACATTCTTAAATGATCTATGCCCACAAGCAGGAGAAACCTGTCTTGAACACTGCTGAAAGGTGATTTTTCCAACCTATTCTAAAAAAATGTCTCACAGAGTTTTTAGGTAGCTTGCTCTGGTGCTTTCTCATGCTTCAAGCTAGAAAGCTTCCCCCCACACCTAATATTAACCCAATATCTATTCAGCTGTAGATTCTCTGTAACTCCAGAACTCCAGGGTCATCTTTTGCTGTACTATCCAATTTTTCCAGTTTTTTTGTTTGCTTATGTAATATCAGTGTCCTGACAACTTTGTATGCATTCTTGCCAGAATTCCTTCTTCAGAGCTCATTTTCACATATGTATAAATGTCATAAAATGTGTAAGAAGTAAAACTTCTAAGAAGCTGATGCTGTTTTTAAGAGCACTTTGTTATTATTGATAAGGAACCCCTCAAATTTATGATGCCTTAGCACTGAGACTTTCAGCCTCTGTGATAGACTCTTATACATATTTAATCAACTTCTTTGTGCCTATTTTCTCTTTATGAATGATAACAGTACTATAATGGCACTCTAAGGCAAATCCTTACAACAAAATAGTGTTTTTCTGTCCATAACAGAACTCTTCTTTAAAAAATGTGGATCTTCAACCTTTCTCAAAATAGAAGAAATCTTCTTAATGCAACCACCTCTTTGAAAATAGCAAGAGATTATTCTGAATTCTTGAGAGTCCCTTACCATCTATAAACTATTTTATCAGTACTTCTTTTGAGCACCAGCACAGCCGTTAGAAAGAATAACAGGCTTTTATTTGCTATTAAACCATGTATTATTCTCTATACTAAAAAGGCAGGATATAAAATGTTAAGAGTTTAAATATTGATCTGGAGGGGGTATAATGCTTTTAGTTGAGCCCTCAGTGGTCTCTTAGGTTGGAAATGCACTGAACTGTCAAGTCAATAAATCAATTGTTAGATACTGGAATTGTTAAGTACAAGAATTCTCATTCTCAGTGAATCCTTGGTAAAATAGCATAAAGCATGGAAATAATAGATTTTTATTTTTTTTATTGCTGTTTTAGAAATGGTGCTGCTGAATTAACATAATTGTTTTGTTTTGTTGCAATATTGCAATATGCAATATTGAAAGTATAATCTTATGAACATAAAGTCTGACACAAAGAATGACTCTCCTTTCTCTTCTGCTTTCAGTAGGAGTGGGGCTGATAATAACTGTCTGTCCTGGTAAATGTTTCAGGAATCTTTGATAAAAGGCATTGTAACAAATAAAGCAATAAAGTTAAGCCTTAAATATAAAGCATAGGTCTGCATATATATAGAAAAAAATGCTAAAGCTTTATATACTGTCAGTGTGTTCAAATCCTCCAAAAGTTCAAGACTGCTAGGAACTTGATACCTTTTTTATTAGGAATTTTACTACCTTTGTATTTGTGATATGAAGTAGTGTTGCAGTGAAATCTCTTTACAAGTGATTTTTTCCTCTAGATCATCATCACACCAAAAATGTTCTTTTTGGTATTTGCAGTAAAAACCGAGCAAACAGGTAATTTTCCTCGTGTACCTCTGTGTAATAAGCATGTTTTGTTCCTTTTAACTGCCTTTCAGCAACCCAGTGTAAACACGGTGCAGTGTACGATACCTGTGGTCCGGGATGTGTCAAAACATGTGACAACTGGAATGAGATTGGCCCGTGCAACAAGCCCTGCATTGCAGGGTGCCACTGTCCAGCAAACTTAGTTCTTCACAAAGGAAGATGCATCAAGCCAGTCCTGTGCCCACAGCGATGACATTAGTTCTCTTTCCACGGACACTAATGCGGGTGTCGCTGACCCCTCTGATGCTCACAGCCAGTGAAGGACTCCAGCTGTTTGTGTGCAGAGTCTGCAAAGTACACATCTACTCACAGAGTGTAAATATGCTCCTGTGTGTGTATTGATGTGTGTTTATGTATACACACATGGCACCTAGAGAGTCATAGCAATGCATACTGTGTGTATGCAGATACACATATCTATACACAAGTGCCCTAAACGTAAGTACAACCCATATATTTATATATATGTCCACACACACAAATATACATCATTTCTATATATCATAGAAGGATGAATTATTATATGTATATTTTTTGCTATAAAGTTTATGTATTATTATTTCTAGAACCCTGATCTGTAAGTCATTGTATAAATAAACCAGGTGTTTTTAATATAATATAGTGGCATGAAAAGATTGGATGACTTTGCCATTGCATAAGTTTGTCGTTTCCAAGGAAACTTTTCTAGGGCCATAGCACTGCCAGACTGGATTAGTTTCAACACAGAACCTGGATTTACGGTTGTACAGGGAACACATTTCTCTGGAAATGGAGGATTTATCTAGGAATATTTCATGCATACCTTAGAGCTGCATAGTGATTGGTGACAGTGCTTAATCAGGCAGAGAAAGCTGGGGATTGGCTTTTATGCTTTACTGAAATAACTGTGCAAAAGGATTTCCAAAGCTGGCTGGCCAGCTGCCAGCGTGGTGATATTTCTTTCTGGAACAGCACCAAGGAGTCAAGGGCCAGATTTTCAAAAGTGTTCAGCACCCAGCAGCTTGCTTTGAAAATCTGACCACTTCCCATTTCATATCCTAATGCCCCGTCTCTGTTGTTGTGTTTGGCAGTAGCTGTGAATACACAATAAGGAGCTTTAAGAAAATATTCTTCATGTACATATTAGCCCCTTTAACATGTTTGAAATGGCTGGGTTTGTTTCATATTTCCCCCAAGTATTATGCAGAAAGCAAATCCCACTCTGAATTGGAGGGTTTGATTTCAGTGTGCCTTCAAACATGAAATAATGCTGGGTTTAGTAACTCATTTAATTTATCAGCATGGTTTAGAAGAAAGACAAATTCACCCCATCAAAAAAACAGTAGAGAATGTCAAATGCTAATTGGAGAACTGCAATTTATTTCCTTACTGGTCTTTTGCTTGAGATTTACAAACATGTGAGCTCTGTGAAGTTTGCATGACTTTTGAAGTCTCACAGGGGAAAAGCAGCAATATGGGATGTCATTAGAAACTGTTAAAAAAGCCATACAGCTTGCTCAAGCCTGATGTTGGGGGGGAGGACGGGGGGAGGCAGTGAGAGGACTGCTGTTTTACTTCCCCTGGAAAACCTCTTGTTGAGTCTGATGGAACTGTCTCTGGAGATGACAGAAATCTTTGGGCGCCTGATTTAGGTTTATAATGAACTGATATCCTCCCACACAGCTACTTCCATTATGCATTGCCTTGAAATTGTACATTGGATTGCTCTGAACAATTTACTCCTTTAATTCTTCACTCTGCAAGATGCTTCACAGGGCCTGAGTTTACAGTGAGTGAGTGGGTGCAACACATTTGGATTACAAAACCTGTCTGTGATCCCATCCTGGAGGAGGATGCTGAGCATGCCCGGTTAGCTTAGACACCACAGTATCCAAAATGCTGCACCACCATAGTGTTAAAAAGAGCTGGGCAAATAATGCCAGGACAGATCGGTGGATGTTTAGCCAATTTTTAAATCAACTTAGCTTGATCTTTTTATGTCCCCTTTGCGTTTGTTTTCTCGGAACAATCAAATAATTCGGTTTTACTGGCAGAGAGAGTTTTGAAGCTGCATACACAAGTGCAGGAGGAAGCAGAATTGCAAATGTGCAGATCTCATCAGAGCAGAAAACTAGAAGAGTTTTATGTGGCTCATGTGATAATTGAATGGCAAAGCTAAAATTTAGAACTATTGCAATTGGTCCAAGGAGTTAAAACACAAAATGGTAGTCATTAAAATAATTTAAAGCTTCAGTTAAGAGAGAAGAATGTTTCAGCCTGAGAGCTTTGGGTGTTGAAATACGTGGTCAAAGCCATTATAAAATTTATTTGCCCAGCACTCCTTTAGGATGGATGTTTATTACTGATGGGTTTTCATTACTTATGGCTCAGTGTTTTCAAAATAAAAATAGAGGCAAAGTGAGCTGCATACGTGAATGGTGTATAGAACTGTCTTTCCCTTTTCTTCTCCTGACTGATGAAGGTGAGTGAAAGGTGAAGGGAGAGCCCTCCAGCTCTCTCAGTCCACTGATCACGTTCAAGCAACACTTAATTGGCACCAGGTGAAGAGGTGACTCAGTCTATCTGCAGAACAAACTCTATTTTTAGATCTTAAAATTGTTCAGTTTGAAACCTGACCTACAGGTCATCTCAAAATGAGGACTCATTCCTTGGTTTAGCTTTTACATCTCTGCCTAATTAAGGGTAACCCCCTACCTTCTGCTTTAGTGATGTATACTGAGGAAGAGAGGAATGTGGTTTTACCTTTAAGCTGTCTGATTGTGCCTTTATGGTGCAGTAGAGCTTTTTCCCCCAAACTCCACAGCTTTCAAGGCAACAGTAAGGGCTATTGCCTGCTGAGTTCACAAGTACAGTGTAAAGTAAAGAAGTTCTGCTTTTCTAGACATTGCCCCAAAATTTCAAGCTGGCACAGGTTTTAAATCTGTATCTATAGTTAACCCATGCCCTACTGAGCTATTTGGACCAGATCAGTCCCACCTGGGGCTGATTCACTCTGCTCACCTGTTTGCCTCTCTTCTTCAAGGCTTTTCATCATTTGGAAGTCTAGCTCAATAGCATCAATAACAGCATTACCACTCACCTCACAGAGTTTGGATGGCAGCCCATTTTCCCCCTTAGTACAGCATTCTTTCTAATTCTTCTGTCTTGGCTCATGAAACATTACCTTAGGATGCTAGAGCCGGAAACTTCCTGCATATCACTGGAAGAATTTTGAATGCTTCTGAAAATCACTGGAATTTTTCACAAACTTCACTGATAATTCAATTCTAGTATGTTAAATGTCTTTAGAATCCAATAATGTGTTCTTAAGAATAGCATAAGGTTGATAATCCATGTTGTATATTCGCTATGCAAAACTGATGATTATGTAAGTTGTGGGCTTGATTATGCTTATATCAATCTGTGCATACAACTTTGTGCCAATTTGTAAGGTAAATTATATTTGAAGGAGCAGAGTTTCAAACCAAAGAATGATCCCAAGGAAAGTCTGAGAAGCAGCTTTGTAATCCAATGGATGGAATCACAGAAAAACTTGGATCAATAACTTCGCCATTAACCTGCTGTGTGTTCGCTGGCAAGTAATTTAATATTCTGTGCTTCACTGGGGAAATGAGGTTCTGGGTTTATGCATTTTTTTAAAGTTTATGGATATAAAATGTTGTAAAATGCCATACATCACTATGGGAATGTCAGCTGGTATTTTACCGATCTATTCAGGTCTGCTTTGCATCAGGTTGTCCCATATTCCCCATATCATCATCACTTCAAAGTCAGCTCTTAGTTGGCTTATGTGGAGGTCACATACATTTATTTCCTGATCGTTAACTTTCAATTGTGCCTATTTTTGTCATATATATTGAGTTTTATAAACCGTGGAGACAAGCCATAGCCAAGCAAAGCAATTTCAGTTGTAGCTCAAGACTCTGTAGGTACTCCCATGTCTTCCAAGAACACTTTTCTCCTATAGAGTAAGGTATGCCCTGGGAGAAAAAAGTTTGACATTCATAATATCCTACCCAAACGTGACCCCATCCTTGCGTCACGTGAGTAGATAATGTAAAAGAACTAAGTTTTTCTCATTAGAGGCTTTTTTTTTTTTTTTTTTTCCTTTTTTTGAACACAGGATTCAAATAGTTTGACACTACTTGACTTCCCACTGATAGAACCTGACATTTGCAATAGCTGGACTGATCTTGAGTGACTGTACAGGGGTAGGGTTTTTTAAAAAGTCTTCAACAAAAATGGACAAGGTTATATCAAAGCTAACAGATATGAGAATAGCAGCCCATGCATTTGTAGCTGGACAGGTTGGGGAAAAAGGCAGTCTTCAGCATAGAGCACTGAAGCTGTGAGATGTTTCAGGTATTTCAGGAACAGTCTCCACTTATGGGCATTATGCCAAGTTCTCAGTACCTGACAAACAGGAACTTTACGTTACTTAAAACTGATGAAATGTTTGTTCTGCTATCCCTGATTTTTTTTTTATTATTTTTTTTATTTTTTATTTTTGAGAAAGCTGTGTGGCAAGAGAGATGTTCCTGCTTCCTTACAGAAACATTTAAATCTATGGCTGCAATTTTTTTCAGGACAAAGGCCTAACTGTGCTGCCATTATAGAATTCCTCCTCTCTCTGCTTAAAGGTTATTGCACAGATCAGTATTACTAGTGCTATCCCTCAGATGGCTGTGACATTGTGTTTGAATAATGTGAGGAAACAGAGATAGGATGTCAGAATAAGGCTAAGGCAAATGAGAAAGGAGAAATCAGCAAGAGGAGGTTTTTTTCTATGTGGATGTTGTCTCTCTAAATGTTAAGAACTAAACTGAAAGTGCTCTCTGACAAAGGCAAAGGACATCCACGCTGCCTGAGCAAAGAAAACCCCACCAACCACCCAAAAAATCCAAACAAACCGCATCAGAATCGTATGTTGAGATTGAAATAAGTGTATATTGGTAAGTATAGAAATCCATAATTAAAATAAAAGTTATGAACTTCTATTGTTACTTTTCTCACAACCCTTAAATCACAGCAGAAGAAGCCACCAAAGTTGAGGAAAGGGATATTATTTCCTGAGTTGAGATGAGACAAACATCTGCAGAATTTGGTTCTTGTGCCTCCACTAGCTCAACAAACCTGTTTTCTTTTCCTCCAGGATACGTGTTTTAGTGAACACATATCATTTCCCAGTCTACAACTGTCAGAACAAAGGCTAGAAATGCACTTTTATAACTGGTCTTTTTCCTGACTTTGAAATAATATTGCAAGTTCTACTTACTACTAAGAGAGCACAAGTTTTCTTCTGAACGATATCGCTTTTACCAGACGGCAACATTGCTCAGCATCAAGCAGCATCTTTGAAACTCTAGGTAGTGTTATATATAACATGTAGCATTTCCTACTTGCATGACTTTACCCTTTTCATTATGAGTTATAAGTTAATACTAGCCCTGCATACAGGAGGAAGTTGACTCTAATGGAGTGTGTATGTGTGGTGGGAGAGGTGTGGCATTGCCTAATTATCATTATCATTGATAGCGCTTTGTAGTTCCCTAATTGATACTTATACCTGGGCTTTTACGCATGCCAGTGAATGATGGAAATGTAGGAATTTCCTGCCCAGACAGACCTGCATTTTTTTCTTACCCAGTGCCGAAGAGATGCTTCAAAGAGCAGTATGTAAGCCTGGTAATGGGCAGCTATGCAACAACCTGTTCTTAGGGATATATAAGCCTTAGACTCTGGTAGTAAGTGATTGCTACTTCAGTGACTCAGTGGTTCAAAGCACTTAACCACATGCTCAAACTTTGAATAACCTCCTTTGCTTCAATGGGGCAACATACATGCTGACTTCTAACCATGTGCTTCAATGGTTTGCTGCATCAGGGCCAGAGTTCTGTGTCTGGCAGGATCAAGCATTCATAGAATCATAGAATTGTTAAAGTTGGAAAAGA